TGGGGTAAAGGACAGAGGTGCGGGAGGTGAGAGGATTCACTAGAGACAGAGTGGGGAGCAGAACAGGTGGATTGACTGAAATACACTGCTGAGGGGAGCAGTGGGCGAGACAGGAGAGGTCTGCTGTGCCATGTGGGTATCTTCCTGGCTGGGGATCAAACTCGAGTAGCAGTGGCTGTGGACAGCATCATAGTGCTGAGACTTAACCCCTTGCGCCACCAGGGAGGCCCCCTCTACTAGAAATTTCTATTCCTCTTCCACTAGAGGTAAGCTCCTCAAGGGCCTCCAGTGGTGATTTACCTCATTCATGGCTGGGCCCCTGGGCCTGGAACATAACAGGTGCCCAATGAAGATACACACGCAGGCAAAAAAGGACAGAGATGTCCCAGGGTCACTCCAGCCTGGTGCATAGCACTTAAGCTAAGTCCAGGGTGGTCTTGGGATGACAGCTACAGAAGACCCTAAAGGCAGGAAGACGACACGTGGTGGGAGGCAGACATTCAGTTTGACTTCCCTTCAGATGCTGCCTCCTCCTCCAGGAAGCCTCCTCTTTCTCCCATAGCCCCAGAGCTACTTTCTTTCATTTTTGGGGGGTGGTGGGGTGGGGAGGAGAAAACAAGAAAGGGGGCAGAGGGGTGGGAGCAGGAAGAGGATAAAGGATGAACACAGAGGAAGGTCTGAGTTTTTTCTGGCACCAGATTCTCCACAGGTACCTTCTGTACTTTTCTCCTCCACACTGGACAAACCCATCCCCTCTGCCTCACTTCCCTGGATGGATAAGACCATGCCACCCCTCCCACCCCACGCAGCCCCCAAGCATCCTTACAGGAGTCACCATGGAGCCCTGACTGGCCAGGCCAGACCTGGTGTTGACAGCCTGGGGAGTTTCAGGGCTGCCAGAGGAAAGGACTATCACTGTGAGAGGCTTGCTCAATCCTGAGGCTATAAAAGTGGTTCTTAATGACCTGGTGGGAGGGAGGCAGATAGGGTGAGATAAAGCCCAGCCTGACTTTACACTGTGGTTGGGGAAAGGAGGAAGAAGGTGCAAAAGTTGAGGAATGTCACTGTGGTCAGCCATGCAGACATGGCAATGGCTGTAAGGAGAGTGAGAAAGGGCACTGTCTCCCAAGGGCTGAGAAAGTCCAGGATGGGGGAAAGCGTGACTGCTAGGCTCAGGAGCATCACCAGCCAGAGGGTAGCAGATCTGACCCAGTGGGCCCGACACCCCCAGACCCCCTGGGCAGGGAGAGTAGAAGCAGACTGCCCATCTAGGTTAGAAATTTAGAAAGCCTGGCTTTCCCCCTCACCCCAAGTCCTTCATCTCTCTGAGGTGCACTTGTCTCCCTGTAAAATGGGGAGATATACAGCCCCTCCATAGGATTGGTATAAGGATTGAAAATAAATGATGTGGGTAAAGTTCAGACTGGGGGCTTGGCACCAAGCAGGGCCAACACACTTCCCTCACTCCAAATGCCCGATGACTGAACTCACACTGAAAAGGGCTGATGACTGGGTCAAGTGTGCACCAACTTAATGATTAAACCCATCGCGTGGTTTGAACTGAGTGTCCTCTCCAACCACATCTACGGGTGAGCCCCAGAGGCGCGCTGAGGGAAAGAACTGGAGAGAACTCCTTCTCCCCAATCCTCCATGCGTGCACCCCCTCCACCCCGGAATTCTGCCCTCCCCTACCCCCATCTGTTTACACACCTTTCTCCCCCTTTCAAAGTGCAGATCCAGAACCCCAGGCTGATGAAGTTCAACAGAAGGACCAGGTGGTATTAGAAATGAGACAGAGGTGGGTCTTCTAAACCCAACTTTGCCACAGCCTAACTGTGTCTGGGCAAGTATTTGATCTCTCTGTCCCTCACTCTTCTCACCTATGAAATGGCAGGATTGAAATTCAATTAGAAAGAGAATGGGTCAACACACAGTAGGAGCTTAACTAATGTTCTCTAGGGACAACTGCCCACTTACGTTTACCCTCTGAATTCGAGGATGCCCTTTGCCAGGGCAGCCACAAGGTTTCCCAGAAATCAGTGATAAAGCACCTGCCCTTTCTTTGACTTTTCCTTATTGTATGCAATAACATGCCATGTGTACCCTGGGGCATGCAATAAATATTATGGGAAGCACAGATTGGGCTTCTGCAGGTCAGAGGAAGAATATAGGGCTTTGGAGCTAAATAAACCCGGATTTCAATGCTAATTCTGCTAACTGATGAGCTGGGAGCTGGGACCAGTCATCACATCTCTCTGAGCCTTGGTTTTCTCATCTGGAGAATGGAGATGATCCTCTCTACCTTGCAGGGCTGTTTAGAGAATTACGTCTATTTGTTCATTCAACAGATATTTGCTGAACATCTACTACGTCCCAGCCACTGCTCCCAGTGCAGTAGTGAATAAAGCAGAGAAAACCCTCCCTGGGGGGAGAGATAATAAACAGTTAATGACACGTGCAGCTCGAGGCACAGTGATGCCTGCTGAGGAGAAACACACAGCAGGGAGTGGCAGGGGCAGGGGCCAAGGTGGGATCCACACTGGGGCAGAGGCCTGAAGGAAGCAAGGGGGAAGTCAGGTGGAGGGCTGGTGGAAGAATATTCCAGGCAGAGGGATCGGCAAGTGCAGGAGCCGTAAGGAGAAGCGTGCTTGGCATGTAAATGAAGTCACATATGCAGGAAGCCTGGCACAGAATCCAGGTGCTCGGCAAATGCCAGCTCTCTATTTCCAGTCCCGTAGAAGGAACCCCACGCATGTGTCCTTTTCCTGAGAACGACAGCACAAGGATTTCTACAGGGCAAGGCTGAGCCAAGTGTTCTTTCAGTCTAAGATTCAGACAACATGTGAGCTCCACCACAGGTTTTTGAGCACTTGCCAGGCACCAGGCTCAGGGCTGGGCAACCACAGATACAAGATGATCAAGACATCTTGGAGCCCTGTCCTCAGGCAGCCCCGGAGTGAGTCCTAGAATTGGGTGACAACAATGTAATGTGGTTAGATGAACAAGCAGACACTTTAGAAAGTGTCCATATAGAAGAGTGAAAGATGGGATTTGACATGGTTGGTCAGGGAAGGCTTCTTGGAGGAGGTGACAGCTGAGGTGACTTTTGAAAGCCAGACTAGACAACAAAGCATATTCCAGGTGTGTGTGTGTGCATATACGAGCACAGAGATATAATAAACAGCCCAGTGTATGTGCAGAAACTAACGTCACAAACATTAAATGGCCCTTCGTATTCTGGGGATCAGCAAACAGGGATTCCAGTTCTGTCTCCATCCTCAAAATTAAGGCAACCTGCAGCCCCAGTGGAGAGTTGAATTTTCTATACTTAGCTACAGTAGCAGGTAACCAATCTTAACCCCAGGCTCCGAGTTCAGAGTGGCCCAGTCCACAAAGCGAGCTCCCAGTAGGATGGAGGTAACATAAATCTCCATCTATATTTAGCTCACCTGGCCTCAGGGCCTCTCTGTCTCTTGCCCGCCCCCCCCCAAGGATGACCCACAGGTGGCAAAATGGCTTTTTAGTAGAGGAAATAAACATTTCTTAATTACAGAATCCTACAAAGGAGCCCAGGCCTCAGCTGGAGTCTGTGTGCTTGGGAGTACAACCCTGGACTTCTGATTGAGTGGGTGGATTCTCCCCCATCTTAGCAACAGCCCTGTTCATAGGAGGTAGAAGCCACCCTCCAGGAAGCAGAGCTGGGTTCAAATACCACCTCTGCCAGAGACTAGCTGGTGCTCCTCTGCTGCTGACTTCACCTCTGTGAAAATGTGGAGGTTGGAGTGCAGTGGAACTAAAACTGCCCAGAAGCTTACAAAATAGATGGAATTGGCTCCTCTTCCACAAACCAGCCTTGGGAATCCAGAGCACAGTATCCTCCACTTCAATCCCCTCCAGGGGAAGAAACTCTAATTTTTTGATATAAAACCTGGAGTGTTATAGCAGAGACGTGCTGATGTGTCCCTTTCTCCTAAAAATCTCAGCAAAATTTGTCCCACACTTGACTGGCTTTCCCACTTAGCTGGGCCTCTGAACTTTAAAAACACATACATCTTTCACCTTCTGTTTAAAGGATGCTACAAATGCCCTGCCTTAAGCCAAAATAGGCTCCTCTGAAGACTTGGCGGTGGGGAAATGTGGGCCTGCAAACGGATGGTTTCCAATCCAGACTCTCCCCACTAGCGGTGTGACCTTGGGTGAGTCATTTCTCCTCTGCGCTTCGATTTTTTTCCTTTGTAAAATCCTAATACACATCTTCACAGCGAACAGCGAAGCTTCTTTAGCATACTGCTGCAAGCTGTTCTGGTCCCACAAACACCAGGTTATTTTCTAGCAGGGCCCATATTTCCCCAGTCCCCCATCCCCCACGTGCATCCCCTTACTCTAGCTCCTGAAATTCTGGGGTGGCGTTAACTAGGGGGCGATGCACTCTGCTATGGCAACTCCCAGGGGCTAGAGAGACCCCAGTTGAGCGGATACCAGAGGGGGGCGCAGCCGGGGTGCGCGTGGGAACGTGGCCAAGACCAGGCAGCACGTACGTGGGGGCGCTGGGCGACTGGAAACTGGGGAACCCCTGTGAGCACCCCGACTCTCAACAGCTGCAGTTCCAGCAAAACCGGCCGCTTCTGGCCGTCGGAAGCCCTAGGGAGCCCGGCTCCAGTCAACCCCCGGGGTTCCTAGGCTCACTCATCAGAGCCCTAGGACTGGAACAAAGGCGAGGGGGCGCACGGCATCGCCCCAGCGACCCCTTCGCGCATCTAGCCAAAGCAGGAGAACGAGGACAGGGGTCCCCAAGGTAACCGAGACGCGGTACCCGCCCTCCCGAAGCGCAAAGCCCAGTGCTCGCGGAGTCGGGGTCCCACAGACACCGGAGACCCCAGCCTGCTGCGCGCCGAGGGCTCCAAGGGGGGGTTGGGGCGGCTCTCCGGAAGTCACCCAGCGGGTCCCTCGGGGAGAGGGGAACCCCAGCGTCTGCCTCCGGGCAGGGCTCCCCGGCGTACCTGGCAGGGTCCTGTGCACGGTGTTGCCCATCGCTGCGTCGGGCAGTGGCGTTGGCGGCGGCGCGCTCGGAGCGCACGGAAGCTAATTACCGGGTGGGCCCGGGACCCGGGCCGGGGTCGGGCTCCCGGGCATCGCGGCTGCACGGGCGAGCCGGCGGGCGGCAGCTGGGGCGGGTGCCGCGAGGGAGGCGGCGGCAGGAGGAGGAGGCGGAGCCACCGGCCGGGCCCGCCGGCTCCGCCCCCGCCTCCCGCTGCCTCCAACCGCGCACGGAGGGGCGGGGACGCAGCCGCCGCATCTTTTGAAACTTTGCTGCAGGCTGCAGGAGGGGAACGCGGAGCCTCGGGCTCCCGGGGCAGGAAGGCGCGCGGGGCAGCTGGTGCCCTCGGGGTGCAGGGCTCATCACTTGCTGGCCTGTCTTTCATTTATCCCAGCACTTCCAGAAGGCCTACTATGTGCCAGTCCCCCTTGCCACCGCGGGCCATACACTAGCCTGGGCTGAGCACGGATATCGGGTCAGGTGGGTGGGGACACAGGCGGAAGGTCACCTGTATGTAAAGGGCTTGAAGGCTATCCAGACGGGGTGACCCGGGTGAGGGTGGGATCACGTGTCCACAAGTAGGCGAGACCTAGGTAGTGTCTAAAGGTTGGAAGAAGGGAAAGCATTAAAATATTTATTGGGCACATATATGCCAAGGCTGTAGTGGGCCCTGTATAGAGCAATACACCTTGGATCCTTGTGAGTTTGGGACTCATACAGAGGTCAATGTTAATATAAAAGGCGTGGAGGAAATTTTGCTCAAATAGAGCAGCACAGTGCAAATGGGACTTTGTGACTGCTAGAGGGTGACTACAGGACTGTTGTAAGCAGACCTTTTTAAGATCAGGTTCCGAGTGCTCGGGTAGGTCACTGTGTTGTGTAAATCCCAAATGCACACCAGCAACAAATGAAGTCCCAAGTGTCCCAAAGTTTTGTGGGTGGCACCTGCAGAGGGGACACAGAGTCCAGTGGCCACCTGCCACATTAAGAAGTAAAATTAATAATTTATGACGATTTCCTCTTCGTCCCTTAAAACTCATATTATTCAGCTTCATTGTGAACTGTCTCATTGGGATAATGGGGATTGCCCTTACCCTTTATTTGGGTTGCTTAATATCAGGGTATATATGGTAGTTGCTCACTCTTCTGAGGTCCCTCTGCGTTTTGCCCTGTGCCTCGATTATACTCTCAAGGTAGAAGCGATAGTTTTCATCCTCGCTATTGGTTGATGGGAAACCTTCTGTGGGAAGGACCCACCTGCTATTCATTTATGGATCCCCAATGGCCAGCACGGGGCTAGCATACACAGGCGCTCGCTGCATACTTCAATAAATTGACTGCAGAGATGCATTGCTCTGAACTGGGAGAAGAATGGAAAGAAGCCGGGAAGGATGGGATAGAAAAGAATTGTGAAGGAATGAGTTTTAGTTATAGTAACCGTAGACTCTGATATAATCACTAGTGGTATGGCTTTGAGAGAAACAAAATAAGGATGGATTAACAGAAATATGGGTCTTTAGGAAAAAGGCAGAGGGCTTAATGTCTTCGTGGAACTGATTAGATCATTCTGGGAGAAGTTGCTTTGATTCTGGGTACGACATTTGAGAAGCAAGGCAAAGCTACTCCACAAACTTAGGCAGGTGGTTTGGAAGACATGGGATCTTATTCCAGGAGGTGTGTAAACAGAAGCAAGGGATGGGAGGTGAGGGAGTCCTTGTTGCTAGGCAGGGACCTCTAGTCAAAATCTCTTCTGCCTTTTACACCTATGCACCCCCACCCTCATCCACATCCAAAATCGCACAGACTATGCCACCTTCCCGGGCACCAGGATCAGTGCTTGGCCTGCAGGGGCCCCTGGGTGGGGCTGCCACTCTTGATTGTGTAGTGCTGGCATAGCCTCCCAGAGCAGTGGGTAGAGGGCGGGCCCTGGCCAGGCTTCCTGGCATTGATCCCTTGAGGCATGCCCCAGCACGCCCTGCCTTGTGCCATAGCAGGCAGTCAGGTGCACCTTGTAAAAAGGGCACACACTGAGCTGGGAGTGGGTTTATGCCCACTGTGGACACCTGGGTGAAATGACCCCTTCCTCCAGGGAATGCAAGGGTGTTTGCCAGACTCCTCCCTTCAACTCCAGAGTGGAGAAGCCAAGCTGCAATCAAACCACAAAGCTTGGTTTTAAAATTGCTACAGTATGCCTCTGCTTTTTAGCACACCCTGCCTGTGAAACCCTGGATTTCCAAATCTAGTTGGTCTTCACCCACAAACACAGTATTTTTCAGTTCTTGGTTACGAAGGGCCAAATACATAGCAGGCACCGGATCATGCCCTTTGAGCAATCCTCATCACAATCTGGCAGCATGCTTATTAGCATAATTCCCCCCCTTTTTTTTGCAGGAGAAAAAGCTGACGTGCAGAGAGAGAGAAGAATGCCAGCTCACACGGTCAGATGGAGGTGGAACTCAGAGTGTTCTGAGTCTCTCCTTTTCTAGAGAGGAAAGCAGGCTCACCACTATGAGGCCGCTGGCCCAAGGTGTCATAGAGGTGAGCAGAGCAGTCAGGCATCTTGAGTTTCTCTGATTTCTGTACCTGCACTCAACCATGCAGCCCTTCGTGAGGTGCTGAATCTGACTGTCTTTACCTGGCAGCCAAAGCAAAAAAAGAAAGCAGCCCAGGCACAAGCTTTCCTTGTCCTGTTCCCTTGCAGACACACACTTGATGCTGCAGCCCATTCCAAAGGAGCTCATCAACAATGCCCAGAAAGTCTCAATTGGCAGACTCTCCTCTTGAGTTTGCCCAGAGATACATCAACCATGGCCAGATGGATGGGTCCCATGCGGGACATCTGAAAGGCCAAGGGCTGACATTTCCCTGAAATACAACAGAGAGAGCCCTGCCACAGGTTGGGGTCATGGGCATTCATCTTTCTTCCAACAAAGGGAAGGAGCTAAGACACTCTACAGCCCATGAAAGCTTCAGGGCTGAAGGGAAATCAATCAATCTGTGGTCACATGGATTGAGGGTATATTCAGTGAATAATGTTCCTTTTCCAAACTGGACTTCCAGGCAGTCTCAGCTGCCCTCAGCTGGGACAACAGCTACCCAGAGTTTTAAGAGAGTCATAGGGGTGTCAGGCCCAAGTGGTTGCAACAGGAACCTGAGTGGGGGATCCCAGATTGGCAAGTAATTTTGAGGCAGACTGGGGTCCCAGGGAGCTGGGGCTTGGGTCACCCACCTCAACATGCTAAGCCTTATTGGTCCAGGAGCCAGGCCAGCTTACCATTGACGGGGTCAGTTACGCTCCAGGGTAGGGAACAGACACAGGGCTTCCTTCAGCTCTGGCGAGAGATGCTGCTGGGGAGAGCCCAGCTCTAAGACCCTAGCCTGGGTGGTCATCCAGCCTACTACTGCCTAGCTGGGGGAACTTGAACATGCCATTTGCCTGCCTGGGCTCCTCACCTGTAGAATGGGGACAGTAACACTTGGTGGGGGAAAGAAGTGCAGAACAGCCTGGAAAGGAGTGGGTGAGGAAGGGAGGTTCAGCCCAGACTGCCTGAGGTTAGAATGACTGTATGTTTAGAGCACACCTTTTCACCAAAACACATCTGTGGGATAAAGGAAGATTTGGCTACATTTCTTTTTTCTTTTTTCTTTTTTTTTTAAAGATTTATTTATTTATTCACACAAGCACTGGGTACAGTCAGAAGCGCGGGAGGGTGAGAGAATTCACCAGAGCCAGAGCGGGGAGCAGAGCAGGCAGACTGATGAAGTACACTGCTGAGGGGAGCAGCGGGCGGCAGGAGAGGTCTGCGCGCCATGTGGGACCCTCCCCCGGTGGCCGGGGAGCAGCCGGGGATCGAACCGGAGCTGCAGAGGCTGCGGGCAGCTTCGCAACCCAGCGCTCAACCGCTGTGCCACTGGGGAGGCCCTGGCTACATTTCTTGAGGCATTGCCAGGAGCCCAGCGAGGCTGGTAAAGGCGGGAGAACAGAGGCAGAGTGGGTGGGACGAGTTGGGATGTGGAAGGTTGTAACTGAGTGACCACAGCAGGTACAGCAGGTTCAGACCCTGGGGTCATGTTGGCCTGGGTCCAAACCACCTCTTTGCCCTCCCTCAGCCACCCTCCTTGGTTACGTAGCCTCTGGTGAGCAGCTCCCTGAGCTCAGGCTCCTCCTCTGAAGAATGAGCAGGGTGGTAGGAAGAGTGGTTACTGGGAAGAGTGAGGTCAAGTGTGTCCCTTCTGTTGCTCCAGGGTCTGGTGTGGAAACTGGCAGAGTAGGCCCTTCCTCTCTGGTACCCAGCATTACCACCCAGCAGGAGAAAGACTGGGACCTCTGTCTGCCTGCTGCACCACAGGAGTGCACCCTTACTTATTTAGGGGTTCAAGGAGTCACCCCAGCCCATGCTGGAGACTCCTTGCTGAGGTGTGGCTTGTGCCCAGAAGTCCTATGCTTCCTCATGGCCCAGCTGGAGGGGAAGTTTCTGTGCTATGTGGCTGAGGGGCCCTGGTACTAGGGCCTAGGTACTAGGGCCCTGGTACTAGGATTTGGACAGCACAGGGTCAGCTGGGGTTATAGCACGTACCCATGGGGGGCCTTGGGCAGGACTCAGTGTTCTCCTCTATAAATAGCCATAAAAGTTAGGGTTTCAGGGTTGTTGTGGCGATCCCACGGGATTTGAATGGGCCTGTGACATTCAGGCAGTAGCTATTACAGTCCTGCTGTCAGATGCATAGGGCCAGGTAGGCGTCCAGGCTTTGGTCACACAAAGTTGGGTTCAAATCCCGACTCTCCTACCTACCCTTTGACTTGCTCTTATGTCTCGGGTCAGTGGGGACTCAGTGATAGGCTGAAATCTTGGGAAACAGCACAATCCATAAATGAGGGCCATTAATGCCATCTGGGTGTAGGATGACCACCCTCTTCCCTTTCCCACCTCCCCCCAACAATTTATGAGCCCAGCTGGCTCTGCTACCAATGGTTCCTTCCTGAGTGAGATCTTGGAAGGTGATTAAAAACTCAACCCCATGGCCATCTTGCAGCACCTGTTCTGTGCCAGGCCTGGGGGCCACAGAGACCACTGGGGAGTACCTCTTGTGGAGCCATCAGAAGCCTTGCCCATCATAGCCCAGCTATCCAGGA